CACCACTTTTTATAGTTGTAAAATTTCAAACTACAAATCAAACTAATCTTTGAAACTTATGCTAAAGTAAAAAAAAATCGTAATTTACTACAGTTGTATGCTAACCGTGATGAAAATCACGTAAACTCTAGTCTAGAGATCTACATAACCAATCCTTAAATCAGTGAACCCCATAGTTTATTGGGTTAATTAGATGAATATTAAGTTTTGAATATGTAATTAGATGAGTAACATGCAAGAAATAAAAATTAGGTGAATAGTAAATTATTGATCCAATTGGACAAAAATGCCTTTAATTACATTATAATGGAAAGTGGCTAAAAAACCAGTAAATCTCAGAAAATTCCTAAAAATCCGTTGTCAATCATAGGGAATTTGGTCAACCGTGAAAACTCGATCTAACCAGGATTGGCCCTTCTTGATAAAGACGAAGGCACAATAAATAGTTATAGTCAACTATACAAATTTACATAGTTCACTATATCAAACATACAAGTAAATGATAGTTCACTATATTAAACATAGAGGTAAATGATAGTTCACTATATCTCAGAAAATCCCTAAAAATCTGTTGTCAATCAAAAGGAATCCGGTCAACCGTGAAAATCTCGATCTTAATTACCGAACCAGGATTGGCCCTTCCTGATAAAGACAAAGGCACAATAAACAGTTATATATAGTCAACTATACAAATTTACATAGTTCACTATATCAAACATACATGTAATTGATAGTTCATTATAATATATATAAATTTTTACAATACTTAGTGATAGTCTACTATACAGATATACATGCTAATTTACTATAATAGTTCACTATATTTATACAAACAGTACTTCATTGGCCAGCCGTTCTGATAAAGAGACAAATGCACAATGAGTAGTTGTAAGCAACTATACAAATTTACATAGTTTACTATATTAAACATACATGTAAAGGATAGTTCACTATACTTGTACAAATTCCATACATGTAAAGAATAATTCACTATACTTGTACAAATTACATACATGTAAATGATAGTTCACTATACTTGTACAAATTTACATTTAGTTTACTATAATAATTCACTACTTAGTGTTGAGTATAAACTTACTTGTGATTTTGTACTATTTGGCAGGCTAAACGATGCATCTAATAAAATAAAGAACAAGACTCTTTCTACAACTTTTTCCACACACCTAATCTTTTTCCAATTACAACTTATAAAGAGCATAACTTAGATGAATCTAGAAACCCTAAATTACCTACCACAATCGTTGAGCAAGTGTCTCATTTAGAACCACTAGTTACATAATTTTCACGGCTCGAATTTGTTGTACATGACCACTTCTCCAGCTGGCTTCTCCATCCTCAAGACAGTACGGTTCTGGGTTGTACGGTTTTGTCGATTGTTTGAACATAACACATA